GCGTTCCATACGCTATGCGAGGACAAAGCTTAATAAAAACATATGGAATATTTTGTAAGAAAATTTAGAAAATGTTTTTGAGGTTTCATGTAAAGTACCCCGAAAATGAAAATATGTTTCAAACTCACATGGCCTTCAGGTGGTTTAGATCGAACGGGTGATATCAATTTTGAAAGACAGACGAACGGACGAACGGAGAGGGAGAGACGGACAGACAGATGGACGCACGAACAGACACACATGTTTTGCCGACGAAGAACCCTCAAACACGGACTACAACAACACAACGTTCTGCATAAAGTAATTTACTGCACACAAACAGTATTTATACACGTTTTGTTACCCGGGACCGGTAATAAAAGATTTTATGTCAAAAACGTCAGTTTCCGACACACAATTACAATATTTTCCCTTTTTACGAAACAAAGCTAGAAAGAAAAAAGTGAAACCTTTTTTTTCCCCATTGTCTTATATTCAGAACATGTACGACTTTAAATATTGCTTGAGAGTGACCAAATCAGTTCGGTACATTTATTTTACGAGGAACGCTAGAAAACCTTTCAAAATCTTTATTTTATGGCAGAATCATAATTTAATTGTTGATATCATGTAAGATTTTAGGGTGCCTTTTACCATCTTATCTACAGGAATCCTTTGTATAAGTTCCGGAAACAACGAGTTACGAATAGTTCGCTATCCTTCTTTCCCCACCCAATACTCACTCTTGCCTTTAGACTGGCAGAAGAGCTGATTGCTTATCTTTGAAACCGGGTGAGATGAACGGCGCTGCTCGTAACGACTTAGAGCTCTGTGAGAGCGAAGAAGTCTTAGGTGTTATTAACATTACGCTAGAGAACACTCGGGCCAAATGGTATGTATGAATTTGGCATTTTGGGTCGATTGTCCGACTTGCCTTTTGCTGTCTAGTTATCAGTGTCCCCCCCCCCTCACCGCGCTAGTTTATTTCCCGCGCTTGCGGGGGGCGGGGGTAAGAAAGCAATGTGCCGAACATAACGTATTCCCCTCACCGTAACTAGCAAACTCCGCCTGTGTGGGCTTTCGACACATAGTTACAGAAACTGAGACGATTTTAACGGAACACCAAATGTTGCCAGCCGCAAAACGAAGATGGAATGTTCGTCAGAATCCCAGCAATGCTCAAGATATGGCGATTCTCGTGTATGTCGGTGATACCAGAACTTATTCCGTTCCCGCACCGACAACGCGCAATATTACTGTTCATTTTTGGAATAACCTGCGACTAGCCTCGAGAAAGTAGCAACGATACGTTCTGCACACACCCCATATCATTTTGCAGGAACATGTTTGGTCGCATAGGGAGCACGTTGAGGTTCATTTGTTCGATCGTTGGGGCTGGGAAGTGCCGTACTATTCACCATTCTCTCCGCACTTTATCCCTCGTGATCTGGATTGACGCCCTTGCCTCCTAAGACGAAGGAAGTTTCAGAACTGTTCCATAGATTCTCCAGCCAGTAGACTGCACCATTAGAACTGTCAGCACAAACAGGCAATGCTATTAGAACTCGCACATCGCTGACGAGTTGTAACTAAAACTAGAGTCTACTCTGAAAGAGAGAAATGCTTGGTAACTTGTATCTATTTTGAATCAGTTGTAAATAAAGAGTTGCCACTTTCAAAGTTTCAACCCGCGTATATGTTTAAATATTTAGACATTTAAATCGTTTAATGAACTTTTTTTTCAAAATGTGAGTTGTTTTGGTGTCATTTCAAGTTATATCGTTCGGGTTTTCCAAGTGATGGTTGCAGTACTAGTAAGATACAAGATACAATATCGCAATATTACGTAACGATTACCGACAATACGAGAAAGTACGTTTTCTTATAGCACTACTAGTTTATTACATTATTTTCTTAACTGTTTGTGCGAGGGTAATTCACTCATGATAATATTAATCGCGAATGCAGAACCTCCTCCTACTACGTATTTAGAGTTTAAAGCTCTATATAATTAGCATCAGTGTTGTATACAGACAGAGGTTTTCAATGAGTTTTCTAAATGAATTGAAATTAACGTTTGCTGTAAATCACACTGAAAAATTAATTTCGACAAGTTTAATTCGTTGTAAAATCGTAGGCTTCCCAAGGTTAAACTCTACTGGGAAGCTCGGATAGTATAAATTTAATTAGACTTTTAACGACGAATTGTTTGAAATGTCTCATAAATTTTGTGATATCCTATTATGTGCTGCAAACTCTGTTCATATCTGCATATGACAACCAAATACTACCTCAATTGAAATTAATTTGTTTGTGACCGGTTCTAGTCTGGATGCCATAACTAAGTTTCAAATTCTTATATTAGAAGCGTTTCTGTTTACTAATGCATATTCTTAAAATAACAATTGAGGACAGATGCGGTGACACCTTGATGATTGAATCAAAATAAATTATATATGAACGTAAAATATTATTGAAAAGTAATTAAATATATAACGAGAGAGTGTATGGAGCAGCGTGTCCGATATTGAAGTTTCTTAGACAAAGCGGTTTTAGATTGCAGTACCGGCGATGGGGAATTCAGGACACCAGTTAGACAATTGGAAGCGACGACACCTGTTCATGAGTGATAAATCTAAATTTTTCAGAGCATTTGAGATTTTTCGGTCGTTTTTTGTGTTTCGCGCGCGAGCCTTCTTTCCCCATCCTGCCACTATTACCATACTTAGGACTGGGCACCATATTGATTCGCCACACTTATTTGGCTTAATGTATTAGATATATTTATATATTTGTTGATGTAAAGTCAAAAAGTTAAAAACTGCGAATATCGAAGTATGGGATGAAGTATATTTAGTGCACGTTTTCTTGAGTTCTGGGGTTTCTACCCTAATTCATATAAAAGTTGAATTATAAATACAGGTAGAAGAGAGCGTTTTGGTACAAATTGATAAGAAAATATTTGCACCAGTGTAATAAAAACTATTTTTTACATATATCAGTTACAGAAAATAAATAAGCTACATGGCTGTTATCCCTTATCGTATCCTTCGTGAACGAATCGACTTACTGCGGCGAGGACATTAAGAACGATTACTTCAATAACTATATTTCCCTCTGAAATCTCGGAAACTCAAAACTTGCAAAATTGCAAGAAAGATCACTCCTCAGCCCAATTATATTTACAGGGGCAGGGAAGAAAGAATTAAATATATACTTAGAAGGCTGTAAAGGGTTTAAGATTCATCTCAAATTAAAATTAATTGTTTTCGATACAACTCAATCAGATGCCAGGATTTATTGAATCGGATTCAGTAAATGTATATGACATCTGGGAGGGTAAGGCCTTACGTCACATTACGGTCTTCAATTTCCTGGGCGGGTGACCACAAAACTTGGTTCGTCTTTTCCTTCCTCCACCTTTCAGCACTGGGCCTCGGACCCGATCCTTGGAGACTTCGAGATGGACAATGCAGTTCACGGCAGGATTTCTATGGATGTTCCCTATCTACTGCCTCTCATTCATCCACTTCCTCGTCATCATTCATTATTAACACTACATCTACTCATGAGGTACTCGTTCAGAAGATTCAATAATTAGTAATTATTATCTTTGTACGTGATTGTCCCCTGAACTATAAATAAATAAATAAATAAATAAATAAATAAATAAATAAATAAATAAATAAATAAATAAATAAACACGCGGATATGATAACGATAGACGAATGACTCTGACTGGAATGACGTTCGACGGAATAAGTGGATAAGTGAGAAGTCAATTATATCACCACTACCACCGTATACCCCGGCTTAGGTGACTGAAGACATTAATTGTCGAGCGTAAATTAAACCCGGACTACGTGCAAATGTGAAAATTTGCATTTTGTGCTGAAATGTGTGGTAAGTGCTTCAAGCGCAATGCGGTGTGAAATAGGCTATCGGAAATTCTCATTCTTATGGGTTCAAATTGTCGCCACAGAACTGGGCATCACTCAAGTCCCGCAAGCTCTTGGAACAGTTTTTCTTAATTATCTCGAAATTCCATTCTTGGCACTTGGCACGGTTTTCACTTACTGTCTAGAATTAATGTCACAGCAGTACCTCAGACCGGGAGGTCTTAGGGTCGAGTTCCGACGGTGGCAGAATTTTCGACATTAGCAAAATGGCTAGGTCGACTTCACTCGCTGGTTCTGGCGGTACACTACTCTGATCGGTATATTTACGTAGTTTCTCCGGTCAATACTAGGCGAATGCCGGAGCAGTACCCTACCGAAATCAGCCTTGCGCCGCGCACTATTTTTCATCTTTATCCTCTTACCCCCTTACTTACACACACTACATTACCACACATGCCGGGAGACCAGTAGGAAGGTTAGAGCTTGAACCGGCTGGAGCGGTGCCCCGCTAGTGGGAGATACCTTGTCAGGGAATTCTCCGCAAGCCGACGGGTAGGTCGGCGCCGGATCTCACCATCCAGTGGGGGAAGATCACAACCATAAAAAATGATAAAAAACAAACATGCACTACACGTACGCCACCAATGACCTTCGCAGTTGACGCTAATGACCGAGCTAATGACCTTGGCGAAATCAATCAATCAATGAATTCCCAGATATGAATGGGTGAATACCACAACGGGATAAGTGGCATTTTATAAATCCTCAAAAAAAAACTGTTTATTTTAGGCTATATTTCAGTGGAAATGCATTTCCGTGGTTTAAATAAATAATTGAAATGCCAGGGTATTAATGATGAAAAAAAGCACCTCGCCATTACAGTGATATTGACATAAATAAAAACATTTCTCAGAATTTATAAATGCCACTTATACCGTTCTGGTTGTCACCCCTTCATATGATAACTTCTCTGCAGAATACACGGCTCAAAACCGCCGGGCCCCTTTTTCAGCTGCGCGTCACTGCAAGCCCTTGGGCGCGCGACGCCGGCGTCTCCTGGAGCGGAGGCCTCATTTTCTTGGGAGGGCGACGGCGACGGCCACGAGACAAAGCGGCGCGCACCGCCGGCACAGCGCGGCGAGGATGGGTGAGGATGGGGCGAGGATGGGTGAGGACGGGTGAGGATGGGCGAGGGCTGGGCGCATGGCGCGCGCGCCTGTGGCTGCGGCTGCTGTTCGCTGTTTGGCCATTGCAGCCGTGCGAGGATAATTAATGAAGGCCTGGTATTTAATACCACCCCCTTCTTCTCCCCCACCTCCTACTCCGGCCGCGACAGCATTCCGCCGAGATGAAAATTCGCCCGCCCGGCCCCGCCCCGCCCCGCCCGGCGCCCCAACACCCTTTCCTTTCCTTCCCTGGGCCACCTTTCGGCACAGTGTGACCAAATGACGAAAAAGCGAAAAACAAATTTCTGAAACGACGTCGGATTTAAAGACCAACGTATATTGAAGGCTAATATCACATAACTAGCTGATCAATTGATTGATTATTTCGTGTTTCCGAGCTCGTCAACTACAATGGCCAATAGTCTCGTAAGTATAGTTTATGTTTTTATTCTTGGAGGTGGCGGTGTCCTTCCTCCACCGGTTGTTGAGGTCGTAGAGCCGACCTACACGTGCTTTGTGGTGGCTTCCCCATCTAGGAATCTTCCACCAGCGAGGCGCCGCTCCAGACGCGGCAAGCTCGAAGCTCCTGACTGGTCTCCCGACACGTGAGGTAGTGTAACGTCTGCAAGTGTATGTGTAAGTGAGGGGTGAAGGTACGACAAGGAAGAGAAAGGAATAATCATGCGGTGTCAGTGGCTCATTTGTTTGGATGCTCCGGCATTTGTCTTGTGTTGACCGGGGAAACCATTATAGACAGAGCATCCGATCGCTAGAACTCATCTCCAGACAGCTAAGGAATTGGATTTGAGTATTTAGCTAGTGCCGAAAATCCTGCCACAGTCAGGAGTCAAGCTCTAGGATCTCCCAACTAGAGGCATTGCAATGAGATCTGTATCTGATGCCCGAGCAAAAACTCCGCACTTGATAAATAATTGTTTCCAAATTGAAAATTGCTTCATAGTAGAACTTAACTTTGAACGACCTGAACTGAACATTAGAAAATAATAGGCTCGGCAGTGTGTGAGAGAATTGGTTCTAATATTGCTAAATGCTGAAATGAAATTACACAGAAAATAAAATGTTCCTTCAATTTAATTTTACATGGAATTCGGGTTTATGGTTTATGCACTTTTCCAAAAGTACTAAATGATTAAAATGTAAAGGAATATCCAAAGATATCCCATTTTGTAGAATATTGCTTAATAAACAATTCTGGCCCTCCATCCCCTATTTTTGTTTCCTCAGACCCCCTTCATTTCTCCATCTATTCTTTACCCATTCCCTAACTGTCCCTCGCCATTTCCCCACCTGTCGCAATATGTCCCCTTTAAAATCGTGTACCGACAAAATTCGCCTGTCATCACAACCCAACGTGCCACAGAAGCCCTTCGTGGTCAAACGAACATGATCAAAATGTAAAATTACCTCGAACTCTAATACCAGTTTTTATGCAATAATTCATAAGGAATCTGGTTACATATTACACAAAAATTACAAAAATCAACATGACCAATCGAAGACCGCGACGTAAGATATAAAACTAGTAGATCTGCAACGTGGTACAGAATGTAACCGTTACATAAACTTGTAATAATTGTACTGAATATTGTGAAAATATTTCTAATATTTCAGTTCTCTTGGACAAAACGCTTTTCATCAATGTCCATACAAATTCACTCTAACAATGTTTTTTCAGTTATTTTTGTTCCGAAATCCATTTTTATAAAATTGGCAATTTCATGTGTATTTGACAAATAATGTGCATTACGACATATAACTTTCATACCTGAATGACATTCAACACGTCCCCGGCAGCAACGCTCAAACAGTTCTTTACCTTAAAAAAAAATATTCTCAAAGCCATTTTTAAAATTCGTTAACTGAACCGAAAAATATGAAGAATATAATATTTATAAAATATCTCAACTAATATGTTGGTTTCATTTTATTTCCAGTAACATATTGTCGAAATTGAGTTTGAAAATATACACGTAAGCCAACATCTTTTCATCTTCCATCAGTTCTTCTGTGTCTAAAAGCTAATTAAGTTATAAGGCTGGAAAAGAGGTCTAGAAAGGATAAGAAATTAGGGTTTGGAATATTTTTTTAATATTAACGTTTCGGAGAACAAAAAATTATACTCTATCAATACAAAGACTTCACGGACAAAATTTGGACCCTTTTTAGCAAATTTTGAAAATTGGCCTACTGATCGTTTGAAGTACCCCAAAAATTTAAAAGATCCATTTCACCCGTGCATTGAGTTCAGCGAGATTGTTAAAGGATCATTATTTTGGGGCAAATCCTATTAATATGGATTATGTTCTAATATTATTCACTGCTCTAAAATTTTCCCAAGCCAAAACTTCCTTCAGAGGTTTTGATCACGGTTTATTCATTTGGTCTCATCGTGCGCCGCCTCCAACATCTCTCACTCTCACATCTTCTCTCTTCCTCGCCTCTATTCGGGATGCAGTGGTCCTGCTCCGGCCATGTCGCAGACACGAGTTAAGAGGACTGCCGTCTTTCACCCAGGTTCTTGGGCATCCGTTCGAGGGCGGGAGGGGGAGAGTGAAGGGAAAATGGGGGAGGAGGGGGAGAGATAACGCGGAGGGTAGGGGCAATGGGGAAAGGGAGAGGAAAGGGTGGATGGGAGGGGGATGAGAGGAAGAAATGGGAAGGGAGGGGAAGAGGAGGGGGAGGGAAGGCGGGGGAGGGAGGGCGAGGAGGAAGGGAGGGGAGAGGAGGAGGAGGAGGGGAGGGGGAGAGGAGGGAGAGGAGGAGGAGGAGGGAGGGGGGAGAGGAGGGGGAGGGGGAGAGGAGGGGAGGGGGAGGAGGAGGGGGAGGGGCACAAGCTCGATGAGTTCATTGTTCTTTCGGTGCATTTGAAGCAGCAGCGGGAGACAACGGAGCAAATGTTACGGAACAATGCGCAACGCGTTCCAAAAGGACGCTTCTTCAAGGATGTCCCTGGTGTGCGTGGGGGGGCGGGGGGGGGGGGCAGCGGGCAAATGATGACGAAACAACGGGCACACGAATGGGCACAAATGAATTTTGCATTCCGAAAATTGGCAACGATGCAAGCACGGCGAACGCGTTGCACGCCAGGCACTAATTACCGTAGCAGGCAGCAATAACTGACGTGTAAGACGGGCTGTGTATGAACAAGCGTCAGTTGCAGTGGCAGCACAGGGTCGTTTACTCGCAGTTTTCTTAATCGTTTTATTTCCACTGCACGAGCGCGCGCGCATGTGTTCATATCGTAACTTACCACGAATCCAGCCTGTTATGGAGCCTATGTGTGGAATGGGTGAGTAATTTTATGGATAGATGATTACGATATGATACGAATGGTGATGTACCAGTAAAATGAGATGAGGGGGAAATAAGGGGAACGCAGAGAAAACTCGCTTACCCACCATAAATTCTACAAGCATCAACCGGGATTTGATCCCCGGCACCCATGGGCTGCGACATGCCTCTCCTCCTGTGACCCTGAAGCATCTATATGAGGAGAACTGACATCACGAACACTATATGGATCATGATTGAATGCTTTCCGTGCTCGTCAGCTGCTGTGGTAATTAGTTCCGTTAATTAGTGAATGATTCATCTCTGGATATGGAGCTGTTCCTCCCTAGCTGGATGGTGATATCCGGTGCCGATATACACGTCGGCAGGCGGGAAATTTCCATTTAAAAGTGTCATTTCTAGCGCAGCACAACCCCAGCTGGGAGAAGTTGTAAGCTCCCGGCTGGTCTGCCGACTTGTGGGGTGGTAGTGGATGTGTGTATAAGTAAGGGGCGAGATGTGATGAGGAAGAGAGAAAGTTTCGCGTGCGATCTATAGCCCGCTTCTTAGGGTACTGCTCGGACTTTCGCCTGGTACTGATCGGAGCAAACCATGGACAACTACCGATCAGAACAGCCCGCCGCTCCAATTCTCCCCACAGCAGCTGAATCCGCCGTAACTATGCAGCTGGTCTCGAAAATCGATCAAACGTCCTTACACCGTAGGGCTACCGTAGATTTCAACGGCACCGCTGTCTCTGAACTCAACTCGAAAGGAAGAGAACATTTTGCCTAAAATAATAAAATGTTATTAACCACGAAGAAAGAAGGATGTGGGATGGTCGACTAGAGTAGATGGGATTACTTCCCGTGTGAAATCGGAACAGACATTGCCTGCATCATGAACTGTCAAAGAAGAAGAAGAAAAAGAAGACGAAAAAGAAAACGAAAAAGAAAAATGACATTTTGTTTCATTTGTCCTTAACCAAATGAATGCTCAACATTATTGTACGAAAGATTTCATTTATCAATGTCGCTGATAACTGTAAAACCACACAAGGCGAGACGTACGTCAGAAAACGGAACGAAGCTGCAGTTTCTTGTCCCTACGCGTGATGTAAGTGACTCCTACAAACGTGCACACTAAAGGTCATCCGGTCGTCCGTATTACATCTCCCGTCGCATCGCTGTCACTCATTCTCATATCTAGATGTCGGCGTTGGTTGCTCTGTTTTCGGGACCGTCAACGGCCTCATCGTTCCAAGCAATGATCACGTCTTAGAATATAGGAATTGTGGTGAGTTATCGTTGGCATTTCTAATAATTATATGCGTTGTCATTGCCAATAATATTATATATTACAAGAGCAGCTTTCGATGGCTTAGCCGTCATCAGTTTTCTAGTATAAGAAGAAAAACAATAACATTAAAACGTGAATGTTTTTTTTGATTTGACAACAAAATTATAATAAAGGTTACAACTACTTAAAGTAAAAAGTGGGGGGGGGGGTAAGTCATTTAATACTAAAGGAAAGTCAATGAAATAGAATAAGACCACGTAAAATTTTTTGAAACAACATTTAGAAATGTAAGCTGAGCTTACCTGCTTCATGGAAGCCACAAACGCAACTACGCGGGGTCGGGCGAGCCAAGGGCTAAGTACCCGGCCGGGGGGTAAAAATCGTACGTGTTCTAATTCTATTTCATTCACTTTTCTTTAGTATTAAATGACTTACCCCCGCCCCACTTTTTTCTTTAAGTAGTAGTAACCTTTATTATAATTTTGTTGTCAAAT